AGTTCTAATTTTCTTACAAGGTACTTGAAAATCTTTAGCATAAATGCTACATTAGTGATTATGCTGGTTTCAAGTTTTTCTTTTTTAGGTTCCATTCGCCTAACCAGTAATGCTTACTTTCTTTTACTTATTTATTTATTCATATGCACCCTAATACTGTATGCATCCTAATGCCACTGTCAATATAAAGAAAGAAAGTAAATCCTTTGGGAGACCACATCCATTTATCATTTTTGCACTTGCAGTCCCCGCCTACCTCAGAAGCAACGCGTCCACCTCCCCAGCTTCAGTTACCTCCTCCTCCTCCACCTGACCCAACTCCTGTAGCAGCAACCCGCTCAGCTTCTCTCGGTGCTGTTACCTCCATAAATCGCAATGAGATTGAAGCTCTGTTGGCAAAGAAAATACAGGAGAAGAAAGAAGAAGAGAGAAAGAGGAAAGCTGACGAATCTGGTACTATAGACAAGAAAAAGAAAAGAGAATCAGGTGTTGAAGGGACTCCTAAATCTAGTCGCAAAGAGCGGAAAACAGATGTCAATTCACATGAAGGGGGAAGTGGTCGCAAACCTCCGGCTGGGCCGGATGGTGACACAAGTGAGCGGAAAAAGAGTGTTAAGAAGCGAGACCCGGCTATAGAGGGTGACACGTCTGAAAAAAGTGAACGTTCAGAGCGTAAGAAAAGTGTTAAGAAGCGTGAACCTATTGTTGATGGTGATGCTAGTGATTTAAGTGAGAAGTCTGAAAGAAGAAAGAGTGTGAAGAAGCGGGAAACTTCGGCTGAAAAAGATACTAGTGAGAGTGACAGGTTAGAAAGAAAGAAGAGTGTTAAAAAAAGAGAACCATCAGTAACTAGAGAATCCAGTGATGATAAATCAGAAAAAAGAAAAACTGTGAAAAAGAAAGAGCCTTTAAAAGAAAAGAGTTCTAGCAAGACAGGTAGTGAAAGTGTAACAGAACCCTCAGCTGTGATAAATGGGGAGAAGCATGAAGCGGGTAAATCAAAGGACACACAGATAGAGTCTCTAGAGGACCAATCATCGAGTCTGAGTTTAAAGCCACCACTGCCTAAGGACCAAGTAACAGAGAAGGGGAAGCCCTCTGCCAAAGATGTAGCATTGCCGAAAAGTAGCAGTAGAGGTGAAAAGGAGGACATGGTTACAGAGCAACCAGAACCCATGGAAGTAGAGTCAGCTACTCCTACACTGTCTGTGAGTGCCCCAGGCCCCACAAAGACATCAGGGAGTGCAAAGTCAATTGGATCTGTCGCCTCAAATGAGGGCACCCTGAAGGCATCAGACTCCTCATTATCTAGAGAATCTGTTAGTCCAATGAAGTGTGATGCAGCGTTGGCTCCCATACCTCAGGAAACACCTAAGAAATCGAAATCTCCATCTCCAAGCCAGACTCCAAAGGTGAGGAAGGTGAAGTCAAAGTCCATAGTCAAAACATCGTCTAAAAATTCAGTCGAAGGCCAGCCATCGGAAACAATGGCTGTCAATGGTGAAAGTATTAGGGTTGCCCCATCTCCTATTCCCAAAGTAGATGAGACTGAAAAAGTTTTGCAAGAAACGGCTGATAAGATTAAGCTTTCTGAGGAATCACACATTCCTATAATAGTGAAGACAGGGGATGGGGAAACTCAGGTCATAGAGACGGGAAATGATGTCGCCACAACCAAGGAAGGTGAGTCGGTCAGTGAGCCTCGGCGGAAGGAAAGTGAATCAGCTACAGAGTCGGTTTCAAGTAAAGATGCTAGCCAATGCTCATCCATGTTGTCAACCCCGGCTCGGAGTCGAGCTGGTTCTGAGTCATCCACGGAGGCTCGACCATCCCGTACAGACCCTGCCAAACGTCAGTCCAAAATATTTAAGGCGGCTGCTATGTGGGAGAACCAGGGAACGCAGCCTCCGCCACCTCTCGAGAAACCAAAGAAAGCAGTACGAGCTGGTGGGAAAGTTATGACTGACCTTGCCAAGAAGTTTGAGGAAAAACCAACCATTGACCGGAAGAGTAAAGTGGTACCATTATTTAAGGTAAATTATTAAAATGTAATCATTTGTGTATGTTCACACTCTCATGTGTCAGTCACCAGGTTAAATTGTCACAGTAAATGGTCAGTGTCATAAGCATGGTGTTGGTATGGATGGTATTTTACATGGTACCTCACTCACACGTCACTTCAATATTTATGTTAGAACATTAACTTATATGCACATAATGAGAAAAATTCTTGGGGCATTCTGTGACTCAAAAATTTTCTCATTATGCTTAGCATAGCTAGAACTTTATGTTTTCACATCTGTGTTTATGATAACATGTAGAGTTCCTTTATGTAAGCAGTTGAACAATTATGTGTTATATAAATTTGTGTTTTTAGTTACTGAAGATTAGTTTGTTGATTTAAATAATGAATTTTATTTATTTCTCTTTAGTTTTTTAAACGTGCTAAGGGACCTATACTACTGTAGACTTTTTTATGTCTTTCCAAAAAGAAATCTGA